TATGTGTATGTGTGTGCGTTTGTTTGTTTGTATTCGTGTGTGTGTGTGTGCGTGTTATTATTGAAATATCAGTTGGTCGTAGGGTTCAGGGGATCTCGTAGTCGAGCAGTCTCGACTAGAGCTTTCTTACTTGTTTTTTGTGGTCTTCTTTTATGGCCAGCCGAACATGCTATAGATATCTAAGTGTGTGTGTGCGTGTGTATGTGTGTGTGTGTGGATTGGTAGGCTCAGACAGCGACTGGCAGACAGTATGACGCCAAATTCAATACACCAACGTCGATAACAAAGGTAAACACAGACACAGACACACACACACGCACACACACACACACAGTGAGGCAGAGACTGTAACACGGAGTCCATTCAATAAAGGGGTACAAGAAGAAACCACTCGAGCGGTGTCAATAATAATAATAGCCACAGTCCAATGGACAACGATGAAGACGCATTTGGTAGTCCCCTCTCTCCACTCCCTCGCCGCCCTCCTAGCCACTCTTCGATGTTGATCAACAGAACACACACATACGCACACACAAGCAACAAAATCCCAAAATTGAAACAGCAACAAAAACAGATACAGATACAGATACAGATGCAGATACAGATACAAAGATACAGAGACAAGACAAACATTACGCCCTCCTCTTGTACTTAACTAATCATTCTGTGATGCTTCTTCTTATTTACTTGGTTTGTTTGTTTGTTTGTTTTCTTCAAGCTACAATTCGGCTGAAATGATTTGTTATAGCTACGCATTTATAGCTGTATCTGCAGCTACATACATATATCTGTATCTATAGCTGTAGCTGCAGAGTATTAGAATCGAAATCGCAATCGCAGTCGCAATTGGATTTGGATTTGCTATTGGAATCTGCGCACTTGCAAAACAATTAAACAGTTTAGTGGAAAATCAAAGCACTTGGTTGAATATATGTAGATGTAGCGATTGCATGATACTCGTTCAAGAACTAAAGCTACTTAGCCTATGTATCTATCGGTAGAGTAAAATATTATTTATATTTTGCCGATTTGACAAACCAATGATAATTTCATAAGAAAATAAATTTATATTCAAGTGATATTGTTTTTTGTATTTGACACTAAATAAACCTAAGATGACGGTATACATATATTAGAATATATTCCCAATGTCAAGTCTCCAATACAATTACAGCATCAAATATGTAGATATCACACCAAACCAATATACTCCTTTCAACTCTTAAGCGAGTATAACAATCTTGTGCTAAGCAAAACAAACTCAAACCAAATTAATTGCACAGTTCTTAAAAAGAATAATAAATTATTTTATACAAGAAATTTTGCACGCTTCTGCGAAATTTCGATAAATATTCTATACAGTCTAGATCTTGTTAAGTTTACGCTTCACTATATATGCATACATGCATGTATACACACATACACATATATATGTAGATGCTCTTATCATCTCACCAGAAAGCAATACGAATTTATAAAGTACCTTTCCAAGACTTCCCCATTTGGGAACACCCTGAACTGAACTCGGCTTATGAACCTTGATATAGTCGCGCTTTTCTGCATATAAAAGACTGTGCGAGTCTCAATGAGCATCAATAGTGTATCAACTGAAAGTCTATCGGAAGCATTCAGGAGCATCCATGAAGTTCATCGCATACCTAGGCATACTGCTGGCTGTCGTGGTCTACTTGGTCCAGGCACAACCCTTGGAGCAGGACTCACTCGATGGACGCGAGCCCGGGGCCGTGGAACCCACTCAGCAGGAGTCACACAGTCGCCTTAAGCGTGCCACATGCGATCTGCTAAGCGGCTTCAGTGTGAATCACTCGGCCTGTGCTGTGCATTGCATTGGCCTAGGCAAGAGCGGCGGCTATTGCAATGATAAGGCTGTGTGTGTTTGTAGACGTTGAATTACTTGGAATAAAACATTATTTCACATCAATATAATATCTCTAGTGTAATGAATTCATTTGATAACTTGAAGTATTCAAGTCTCTGTACATGGATCTGATCAGGGATCCAATCGATATACATATGTATATACATCTATAGAAAAACTTTATGATGTTTCAACTGATAAACATGAAAAGCACTATAAACTGTGGAATATATTCCTCTTCGTAAAAGCGACAGGTGTTAAGAGAGGTATGTGGTTTTCTTCTATTTACCGAAATATCAAAGCCCAGTTAAAATACTGAAAATTCATGACCTACATAAGGAGATCAACAACAGCTTAATAAATTAAATAATGTTCCGTATAATCTTTGCGTATTTGACAAGCAATATCAATGCTCGGTTGAGAGCCCCCTGACTTATCTAGGTACATATGTACGTATTAATAGAGACAAAGCTGTGTGTCAGGTATAAAAACCTTCGATTCACTGTCTCTACTATCCACAATTAGTCAAGTTTTCCAGCTGTCTGCAAGTCAGAAGTTATACCGATTGAGGAAAATTTAAGCGAAAACTACAACAACCATGAAGCTTATCCTGGTGCTTACTGTACTCGTATCCATGGCTTTGGTAGACGCTGCCATCAAGCCAGTAGATCTTCAGCAAGCTGGCGTACAGGAGGTTCGGGAAGCGAGTCCAGCTGAGATCCTCTCCACAAACCCGGGCAAACAGCCTGCAGCGCAATATGGGTTTGTGCCAGGGAAATGCGGTTTAGGTTGTCGGCGAGTATGCCAATGCAGATGGCCATACTGATACTGTATAAGACACGAATTCAAATGTAACATATAAATGCATATAAATGTATATGAACATTATATATAAAACTGTTTGTATTATTATAGCAAATGAGCATAGGCATCAGTTTTCAGGTGAAGCAGCAACTAGCATTTCCTTTCATTCATTCTATTCCCACCTGTCGTCACCTTTTCAGTTGATTATCGCCTTGCTATGAACTGTGCCGCATTGCCGGCTGTTGGCAGTTTACGCAACTGGTTCATAGATGGCGCCAGCGTCGATCTGCTTCATATGCTCGCATATTTTAATCAATTATATTTGAACGAACTTTTAGCTTAAAGTTCAAAAGCAGCAGCAGCATCAGCAGCAACAGACAGCGCAGAATTGGCGTGCCTGTGAATTGTTTACTTTTGTTTCTTCTCACTTTTCACGCGAATTTTATGTTTATTTGATTTTAAAAGACTTTAATGGGCACGCTTATCGCATTTGCCCAGAGTTTTGGGTCAGAGCTGTCGACGGATGGGCACATGGGCTGTAGATCAGGAAAGCAAATGAATTGATAGCAAGAGCTACACTTCATTCTTAAATAAATTATGAAATTTTGCCAACGTTAATTTGCATATTGACTTATCACACATTAAATATATAGCTAAGCAAATACAATTCCACAATGAACTGTGCGCACAAATGCCTATTCTTATCAATTAAATGAACATAAGCACTGAACAACAGGAGAGAAGAGAATGTGCTTCTGTGTCTACGATGCTCATTGCACAGCCGCAGTCTTCAGATACAAACACAGAGCAGAGCGCAGACACACGATCAATTAACGCCAATTATACGTGATCTCGAAACGAAATTGTTTAATAAAAAATTATTGGAATTAATACTGAATTGCGAGTGTCGTGGGCATAAATTTACAAAATGATTTAAGTGTTATGTTACACTAACAAATGAAACCGGCCGGAACAACAAAAGTAGCAACAGCAACAGTTACAACAATTTCGGCTTGCGTTATTTTACATATATTTTCTAATTGTTGAATATTTGCCTCGATAGCGTCTCGAAGAACCGCTCGCGAGAGTTACTTTATTTACACTGAGCCTTTAGTTATCAGCATTGCGCATTTCAAACATATACTACATATTATCTTTAATCTCACAGCAGAACCTAGGAGAGAGAAATTATGCAAGAGAATACAATTTCGCCAGCAAACACATGCCGCCAACAATTTAAATGTGTGAATTATAATACTAGCAAAAATACTAAAACTAAATGACAGCTGAGCACTTTGCGGTGCTGTTATTTAACATTAGAATCAGAGCTGTGTGGTAGCTGTTAAAATTTAAATGAATGCCACATTTATTATTTTCATTAAATTTTGCTAGATTTTACTTTAAAATTTATTAAAAAAAAGAAATGCGGGATAATAATTTTTTAATAATTGATTGTTGTTAACAATCTAATATTGCCGAATCGCTGTAGAAGATAGATGCTCGCTGTTAACAACAGGTTAGAAAAATGTTCACTTCTGCCGCTTTACAGTAAACATCACTGTTAAATTCTTGTTATTTTGTTGATAATTTTGGAAGAGAGGTAGCAACCGCGTTTTTTCTTATCTACTAAATTCGAGCGGCTAGCAAAACATTGAAGTAGTAACTTAAATCATTTTGTTGGGATTGTCGTCGCTTTAGCTGTCGCCACAATTAGTGCGAAACTGCCTGTCAATTATCACTCAGCTCGGAGCTCTCAGTTTAAATTGTGCTGACGTGGTTTAAATAGTTGAAAAGTAATAATTAGAAATAAATTGTTAAATAGTTATAAATTATAAATACAATGAGCGACTTAATATTATGCTGTTTTCTGCTGCTAGCCGTTGCTCAAGTGCACAGCTACAGTTTTACATCAAAGGAAGTTAAATGCCATGGTAAGTGCGGCGAACGAGACAAGACAACCTGTTGGCAATTACTAACCGATTTTCCTCAGTGTGCAAGGCAACGGTGCAGGAGCTTGAGGATGCCATAGCGAAAGAGGATGCCAATAAGATGGTAGACGTTAGCGGCTTTCGACTGGATGCCCAAGGCAATTCCATAAGCAAACGCGTGCGCTACATTAAATCAGAAATGTTTCTAACGGAGCTAATGGAGAAGATTTGTGAGTAGCCCATATGATAAACAGATGTATAGATATCATATTCACCATCTCTATTTTGCAGGTGAAAAGATGGATGACTATCTAAAGGCTACCTATAAGAGCAATGGCAAGTTTGCGCTACTCAAAATGATAGTCAACGGCCAAATGAATCCAGAATCGTCGCTCGTTGATTTTGTACAAGATGGTGATCTCAACAAAAGTCTCGGCCACTTTTGTCTAGAGGTGCTCGATGACAATGAAGAGGTATTCCTTAAAGCCTTCCAAGCAGAAGACTTGGGCAACGATTTGGATATAAAGATCTGCTCGACTCAGGCCAAATACTGTGACGAGGCGCCCGTGCAGGAGGAATATGATTTTGGCAGTAAAGAAGAATTGTGAACAATAACCGATTCAGTGAATAATTAATTTCTATGATTTCTATGCCACCTGTAACAGGTGAACTATTTTGACTTAACGACAATAACTAAATTTAGAATGATGTCTAAATTATATTTGTCCAATTTAAACGAAATAAAATGTTGATGTGCAATTCCATTTTTATTTATAATACGCATGTGTTATGGAGTAACTGTTTTTTTTTTTTGTCGGTCGAAATAAACCACTTATTTATTGTATTGAAGGCACACCAAACATTATTTCATAATGTCATACGAGTCTATTCAGAGCTGTAGAAGTGAAAATATTTAAAGACCTACTCATTGACAATATTGTATGCTCAGCTTACGGCTCAGTTGTGACATTACGCAGCATCTGATGACGAACAACCAGCCATGGAGCACCAAATCCAAGAATGCCCAAAATTAGCCATGATATAGTTAAACGCACTGGACTCTCAAGTGCCCGGCGAAAGGGCAGATTCTATTGTAATAGGAGGAGGCGCAGTTGCAGATCGTATATATAGATAGACATATACTAGCTTACCAAGCCAGGAACACCACCGGGATAACCGGACATTTGGCGCATGAAAGGCGCATAAATTTTGCGTACATCAGCGCGTAGAGCAAACATATTTATGAGCCGAAAAATAAACTGTTTTAACAATTCAAGTCTGATATTTTAGATTATATACTGATACGATACGCTCAGCACGAAATGTGAATAATGTCTGCCAACTATGAATTCAAATGTATACTAGCAGTATCGCTTCCTTAAACAAAGCCTACTTATTATATTTATATTTATACTTAAGGGAAAACATCTAACGTTTTTGTGTTTCAGGTTTGGGTAACTTTATTACGGTTTAAACTTTTGACTTAAAGGTAAAAACTGCAACACATTGACCGACATGTGGCGGCCACAACAAACAACAACGTAATCTGCGAAAACAATGCACAAGAATTAAAAAATTGTCCAACAAATTCAATTGGAATGTAGATAAAAACTAACCTTACATATTTTTATTTTATGCAGTTCGTTGTATTTGTTGTCGCTGCGGCTGTCGAGGCTGCGGATGCCACTTACTTCTTCAACAGCTGATGACGAACGATCAGGAAGGGCGCACCAAAGCCCAACACGCAGCCAACAGTGAACAGAGCGGTGATTCTATACTTGTTCTGTAGGCTGAAGGGCAGGTTCTATAATTGAAATATTGATATGCAATGTGAGTGATATCATTTGATTTTCCTTAAGGATTACGTTTCTGCACGTTATGTAACAAGACGAATACGCCACTCGATCAATAGCTGCTTACCTCACCGGGAATACCACCATGGCCGCCATAGCGCACCATCGATTGGGAGAAGTTACGTGCAATTACACTGCTGCGGCCCAACATGTTAATTAATTTGCTTTTAGTTTTCACTAGATGTATATTGCAAGCGCAGAATTTGTTGGTCTGCTGGGAAAAAGTGTGTACACAACTAAAGAATATCTACATACGATAGTAAGACCAATTGCCGCTATCGATATATCGCAAGCCAACTGTGGATGGGCTGCACTCAGATATTTATCGATGAGCAGCTCTGGCTAAAAATCCATATCAAAGCGCCAAATTTAAAATTTATGGATTTTTCATTTGATATCTCAATGTTTTATTTTCTCCATTCAAAATCTTATTACTAAACAGCTAAACAGCACCAACTAAAGCTAAACAACTTATAAACATACAGAAAGTAACAATCGGTCTTGGTTTTGGTTTCCAGCACTTAACTAAACTTAATGTGAAACTGAGTTTAGCTGGCGAAGAAACATCTATAGAGCATATATAAGATGCCAAAGAGCCACATGCACTTGAACAGCTTATCCACGAACCACATGCTGTAAGCAAAGTGAAAAATTACTAAATGAAGCTCATAATTAAATAAATTTCATAAATTACATTTTCATATGCCGCTTTGCCGCGGGTATCGATTCATCCGACTCTTTGAGTATTAAGCGACGAGCACACAGAACGCAATTGGTGAAATAGTCTATCAAATCCAGATCAATCTTCTCAATTACGTATGTCTTCCGCTCCTTATTATTCATTAACTTTCGTAATTTTACAGCTTCTGAATTATCAAAGCTCCAAACGTTGTTCGCATAGTACTCAAACACTTCGAAACCCTTTGTAATGCGATTCTGGACGCGACAGAGACTGGGGATTGAATAAAATGCAATTATAATTAGCCTAACTATGCTTGATGTAGTCCACTTACACAGGCGGATATCGGAAAAGTAAGAGCAAAGCATCCACAAACAAAGCTGGCAGCCATTGGAAGAGAACCATGCAGATGTAATGAATATAGTAGTTGGACTTCATGGAGCCACCTGGATACCAAGCCACACCGTTCAACGGCACCTTGTTCTCGATAACCCAACGACCCAGCTCTATAATCTCTGCCCAGGAGACTTTAATGTCATTCGAGGAAGTCATGTGGGCAACACGATTCGTGTGATCCGTGCCGGCCGTAATGTTGCGCCAACTGGCGACCAAAATGCCGTTGACAGCCACATCGACGGGCAAGAAGTCGCCATAGCCAGAGGAGTTGCAGTACATGGTGCGTATGACACCTTTGCCGGCGCCAATCAACAGGCCCGTGGGTCCATTGATATTGTCTGTCCAGCCAGGAATGGGCTCCTTCCAAATGGGTATGACAATCGATGGACGCAAAATAACAGCTGGCAATTCGCTGAATTTCTCCACAACCAAAGCCTCGGCCAGGGACTTGGTATACGCATAAGTATTGGGTATATCGCCCAGAATCTTACGCTCGATGAGAGACACCTCCTCGTCGGTTAGCCACTCACACGCCTGAATCACTTGATGAGGATTCGCAGGCGGGTCATAGGGCTTCTCATACAAAGTCTTCACATGCAAATGACAATAGGCCGTCGAGCAGTAGGCAAAGAAATCCAAATGCTTCAGAGTGCCAGCCAGCTCCAGCATGTACTTGGTGCCACGGGTATTCATGAAGACAGCATTGCGCAAGGGCTCGTCGAAGCTGAGATGGAATAGGAATGAGCGGAGTTGAGAAAGGTCTGCAGGGATAATATATCCAGATGCCTACCGCACTGTAGCTGCGCAGTGATACACAATGGACACCTCGTTGCGCAATGTTTCCAAATCCTTCTCGGAGATGCCCAGGCCGGGCAGCATCACATCTCCGGCTATGGCCACCACCTGGTTCAAGATGTGCTGTTCGCCGCGCATCTGCTTCACTTGGTCGAATAGCTGGCCAATTGATAGGGTTGTATTAGCCTCGCATCCAGTTTCATTAATTCAGTTTCATTAGTCACTTTGTCTTACCACATTCTGGAATATATCCTTAATGCGCTCCTGCGAATCCTTGCCCTTCTTCGGGCGTATGAGCAAGTAAATGCGCTTCAGCCCACCACACGAACTGCAAAAATTAATAACGCATAATCTCAGTTTATTGAGAATTATTGAGGTCACGTGTGCCGGCTGTGGCTGTGGCTGTTGCTGTGGCTGTGACTGTTGCTGCGGCAGCTGTTAGCCAAGGCAGCCAACCAGCTAACCCACCCGCCCACTTTTAGCCAAATTTAATTTATTAGACATGCCGCTTATTATGCAATGGCTAGTTTTTTATTCTAGGTTAAAGCACGCAGCTTTTATAGTCTAAACCTAGTCTACAAGCTATATTAACTTCCAGTTTATATCATTCGTATGCCCTAACTGTGGCCATATGGTTTTTGTTGTGCAGCGTGTAACGCTTAGTGGAAAATATGTTGTATAACTTATAATACAAGTCAAAAGGCTGCTATGTATAAAAATCTGTTTTATTGTATATGTACATGAATATAGGCACTTAGTATAGACCAAATTGAACATTTGCTAGAGTATTTCAGCATCGGTGCCATGCAGAAATGTTTAATGTTTTAGCCCAGTACAAGTTTTTTTTTGCAATCTTTAGATCATAAACGTTTACTCGACTTGGCATCAATCGGTGATTGAACTAATCGAACATAAATTGTGTTTATCTAGTTAACTTCAGAAATTCAGCAATCAATGCCTAGCCTTGAACACATTTTACCGTTATACAAGTTTTAATCTTTCAATTGATCATAATAATCAAACATGCCCTGCATATATTACCAACATGCAGCTCTCATAAAAATGTATCTCCTTTGGTCAATTGATCGTTTTTATGGCAACGAGAAGTGCTAGAGTATTCGAGTCTTCCCCTAAATATTTCAAGTTTTTGTTTATATTAGATCATAGCCATTTACTAGACTTTGCTTTGTGCTCAACTAATGGTAAATGTGAAATGTGAATCCCAAGACTCAGGTCACGCAGGTGTCTCTATTAAAGTTTATTAATGTACATCTACTACTATGTGTCTCGGTTTATTTCGCTAACTCCCCGTTGTACTCACCGCAGTAGTTTCTCCACCAGCACCTTGCCCAGAAAGCCCGTGCCGCCCGTAATGAACAGACTGCGTCCCTTGAAGCTCTCGGCCACGCGATCGATCTCGTTCTCGTCCACATGTCCGATCGTCAGGGTGCCCTCCTTCTCGAAAGTAAATTTGGGTTTTGTAGACATTTTATCGCTAGAGCTACGAACAAGAGTTGAGTAGAATTATAATTAATGTCCTCGTCGTTGGCTTAAATGGCGTTAACCAAGTGCACTATAATTATTGTTGATCTTGGCTGAGCGATCAACTGGTTTTCACAGATCTCACGGCATATAAGCCAACTGCCCTCAATGCTAACTGCCAAGTGGTCGGCGACCAATTCGTCGATTGTCAACATGGCGACATGCTTCATGAGCAACTCAACGAACCACCAAGTCCAACTGGCCACATATTTGACACTCGACGCGCCGGCTGCGTATACGCCATGCGGCACATGTGGGCCAATTAGCCGAGGCAGCTGTGGGCTGCAACGGCGCGAAGCACTCAGCCTGGCTGCCATTGATAGTGAGCTTGTAAAGTCAGTGGAGCGATTCCGCTAACGCCAAACTGGGCGCCGACTAGGTAACTGGACTGTGCGCATGTCCTTCAAAATCTAACGAAACCTGTTGGACTACACAATGTAACGCCGACTTCA